TGTGTGCCATTACGAGCTTGCTGGGTTTGTTGAAGGTGTTGTGAGTCTAAGGAATCAGGCAAGGTTAACCCTGGGGATCGAATCTCCAGGCCTCTTGACAGGAATGATTCTCACCCCAAGTCAAAGAAGGTAGCATCAAGCTAGGGCAGGAACAGGTGTAATGAGAGGTGGGTAGCATTCAGTACAGGGGAAGCAGAAAGAATGAGAAAGGAGTACTCTGGACAACCGGGGCTGTGGCTGGGATTGCTGACGGGACTGCTTTTGCCTTGAGGTGGTGAGGGAGCGTGGGTCACACTTGCAGCCGTTCCAAGGGACCCTTATGCTTTAAGTCTATGTGGCTCAAAATTTTGTACCAGTGACCAGGGACACCTGGTTGTAGGAGCTGGTATGTCAGCATGCTCCATGTTCCCAGAGTACTCATTTCATCTGCCTGTATTATCTTTTAAGACCTATTTATTTATTTAATGTGCATGTGTATTTGGCTATGGGAGTTTGTGTGCACCACATGTTGGCAGGAGCCCACAGAGGCCAGAAGAGGGCACTGAATTCCCTGGGACTGGAGTTATGGGCAGCTCTGAACTGCCACATAGATGCTGGAAACTGAACCCAGGTCCTCTGCAAGAGCAATAAGTGCTCCTCACTACTGAGCCATCTCTCCAGCTCCTTCATATATTATTATTTTTTTAAAGTAATGTCTCAGTATGTAGCCTAGCCTGGGTTCAAACTCATGATCTTCCTGCCTCAGTTTACCGAGGGCTGTAATCTCAGGCACACCTGTGTCACCATGCCTATCTTAACTGCTATCTGACAGGAACCAAATTCTAAATGTTTGCCTCTGAAAAATCATTACACAAAGAAGCAAAACGCAGCCTAACTGCCTTCCTCCTGGTGGTAAAATAAATCTGAGCTTAAATTTTGGTAAGTTTATCCAAACAGAATCTGTCACTGATGTAAAACAGTAGTAGCGGGAAGATAAATTTGTGTGAATACCTAACATTTGCTCTGAGGAGATAGATCCCAGTGGGCTGAGGACATAGCCCATTGGTATAGTACTTCGCCCTGGGTTCAGGCTCTAGTACCGTAAAACAGGTGTTGGAAGCATGACTGTTCTGGAGGAGGGAGAACGGTCATATAATCCTAAACAGGGAGGGCACCCTAAGTAGGATTGCATGTTGGGGTGGGCAAGGTTAGAAAGGACCGAGGTAGCCACTGAATATGAGAGGGAGATTGATTTACTCCCATGCCTAAGCTCCACACAGCAGTAGGGCATCTACCCCAAGGCAGGGGATACTTCACATATAACCCATGTGGTGCTCATGATAATGGGTGTCATGGAGGCCCCTGGCTTTCCCCCACCTGCCAGGCACTCACTGGAGGTGGCTGGGCCGTTCAGGCATCCATGAGGCAGACGGCAGGTGCACTCGCTCCCGATCATCCTGCATCTGGAGCCGGATGGGTCGTCTGAGTCCCCAGGCGATATTGAGGAGTCCTTCGATGATCAGAGCCCCTTCTTCCTGTGGGGCCCACACGAGTCAGTCTCTTCACGAACAGCAGCTTCCCTAAAGACTGCTGTTCTTCCTCCCCGTGACCCCTCAGAAACAGTGGGTCCCGCCCCCCATTTACACTTCTCCCCCAGGGAAGAGCGAGCAGTGTGCACATGCTTCAGTGCATGAGGGCAGGGACCCACAGGAGGAAGCAGGAGGTGTTCTTTCCGCTTCTGAGCCCAGGCCTGGCCACGGGCAGAGACGGAGCCAGCACTCAGAGCTGCTGAGTCAGGAGTCCCCCAGGACACTGCAAGTGTCTGGCAGGCACGTCCACACTGCCGGGAGGAAGCATGGCCTGGGGAAGCATGATCTGGCCACTTGTGCTGGGCGAGGCTCCTTGGCTCAAACTGTACCAGGACAGAGAATCCCTCAGTCACCAGGTTCTACTGGACATTGTGCCCCCCCCCCCCCCATGTGCCTTGCCTTGTCCTTCTCTCCACACATCCAGACAGTGGCAGCACCAACTGTCCTGGATTGAGCTCACCTCCAGCTACCCTACCTTTTTTTGCTGGTGGTGGGTGCTGGTTTGCTGAACACTTCTGGGACATTTCCATGACCAGTATTTCTGCAACAGTTTTCATACTGAGACAGACCCAGGCCTGCTTTGACTTCCTTAGGTCTGCAAATGAGATGACTGCTCCCCAACCCTCCTTCACAGTATTCCACTCCACAGCACCCCGCCTGACTCTGGCTCAAACCCCTTATGTCCTGGTGGTTTGTCTCTGACATACATCCTGCCTCTGTCTCCATGGGACGATTCCAGGCTCCCTGTACCCTTAAGCTCACTCCACAAGAAACTGAACTGCCAGTGACCTACCAGAAACCTCCAGCACCTCTACAGAGGCTTCAACCTCTCTCTCTCAAAGCCGTCTCACCCAGGATTTTATTTCCTTACTTGTATGTTTCCTGCTAAGAACATTTAACATACGAGTCCCCCACACCCCTATTCTCTCCTACCTCTTTTCTCTTATTCTCTCCTTTCTTTGGGGTATTTATTCAGTGGTGTTCTGTATCTAGTTATCACTTAAACCATAATTAACCTCTTTCCATATCTATTTGCAACATGGTTCCCATCTTGAATTTCGAAGTCAACAGGGATGCCCGGTAACTATGATTCTGAAGATGCTTGTGAACACAAAGGATGATGGTGATGATGTGGGTCCTGATTAAGGGTTCAGGATGCAGCTGGGCTTAGAACCTGAGTCCTAAGCAAGGTCTGGGATTAGTTTTCCCCTCTGCTACAGAGGGTCCGTCAAAGAATGATTCTCAGGCACAGTGGTGAAAGGCGTGGTTGGCCCACTAAGTGAGGGCTGCAGGCTCACACACTTAATGAATGCTTAGATGCGCAGTGCAGAGTTGATTGCAATGGGCACGGCACTGCCCTGTGGATCTCTCAGACTCCTGCAGCTTGAACTGCAAGCTTCCACTCATCTAGCAGCAATCCCCACTTCCCTGCCTTCACCGTTCTTGACAGCGTCCTCCTTTCTGCTTCTGTGAGCAAGAAATCCTTCTTGATTTAGTTTGGATTCCACACGACACTTAAGTGAGAGCATGCAGTTCCCCTCCCCCACATTCTGCTTCTCCCTTCGTTGTCATGGGAAGTCCCCGTGAGAACAGCAACGCCATGAAAACTCATTCCTGCATCAGCTGTACCTTCAGTGTGGGTCTCAGGGTCCCTTAACAGTCACGTCCAGTTTCAAACACCTCACTGTCCACAGAAAGAACAGTCTAAGGCTGTCAAACACACACACACAGCTTTCTGATATGCAGTGTTTGCCTTAACAGACAGGCAAAGGGCTGGAGAGACGGCTCAGCCGTTAAGAATACTTCCTGTGCTTGAAGAGAACCCAGGTTTGATTCCCAGCACCTGGGTGTTGGTTTGCAAACATCTGTAATCCCAGTTCCAGGGGATTCAGTTCCCTCCTCTGACCTCTGTGGGCACTGCATGCATATGGTACACATGCAGGGAAAATCACTCACATATATAGAATAAAATAAATAAATAAATAAATAAATAAGTAAATATAAAAAAATGCCTTAAAAATCAGGCAAAAAAGTAATGATCAAAACCAGGCTCAAATGTGAAACTCAGCTCCCATAAATAAAAGGCTGGCATCAATCTACAGTTCAAAGTGTCTCTAGGGAGAGTAAGAAAAGCCTCCAGCATATTTGGAAATTCTCACTACACAGCTCTTTCATGGATCCTCATCACCCTTAGTCCCACCCAAGGCTCAGAGACTGGGGAGATGAAGAAACCATGGCTTCAATATGAGTGGTCTACAGTGAATGTAGGAGGAGCACTAAGGGGGGTGGAGGGGGTCCCTGGAAAATGCATTGGGCCCTGGATGGTAGTAAATGGGGGTGAGACTGAGTGAACAGGTGCCCTAACAGCAGGTCTAGCCTCAGCAAATGGAAGAGGCAATATAGCAGCCTGAGGACTGTGAAAGCTAGGTGCTGCCTGAGACAACAAGACCCCCTGGAGAGGCCAGGGTGGAAGAGTGCAATAATCAGCCAGCTGCTGACAAGGGTCTCCAATGAAATTGAAAGAAAGTTGAGGCCGGGCCAGAGCTGCCAGGATCCAGCAGACAGGTGGGGTCTGCTGCCCCCGTGGTGTAGCCAACCAAGAGAGCCTGAACTCACACATCAGGCAAGCATTCTGGGCAGTAAGCTCTTTCCTCTTTAGTGCAGCCTCTTAACTCATCAGCCAGCTGCTAAGAAATTCTGAGAGCCAGAGAAACAGACACAAGTCCTATGGTGTAAGCTGGGCACTGCCACCTGACTTAAGCATTGTTCAGTAGCTCCATTGTCCCACGCCTTTACCTGTGGCAATAATGCCACACCTAGGATACATGGACAAGGGACCAGCAGTTCCCCTTGCTGCCGGAGTCTGGGGTCTGTCCAGCCCTCACATATCAGACCTGAGTAGTACTGTCCCCTCTGTGGCTCCCCTTCCTCCCGCTCCTGAGGGCAGAAGACGGATGTGTTCCAGGTGAGCAGAGGTGCTGAGGCCTGGGAAATGCACAGCCGACTTCTTACGGAGAACTTTCCCAGGGTTGCCCACCTTGCTTTCAGCGGCTGCTGGGTTGGTGGCACCCCTGGGGTCCCTTAGTTCCCCCCACAGCCACCGTCATTAGCCTGAGCATGGCAGCTGGCAGAAGCCACACTGAAGCCCTTTATTTGAACCCGCAGTGCCCTGCCATTGCCTTGGTATCTTCTGACCGGCTCACCTGGACCATGCACACAGGCTCCTGCTGTTCCCTGAGTGTGCCCAGCACATCATCATCCCAGGGCCTTTGCATGTACTGCCCCATGGTTTTCAGATCTCTGCACCAATGTCACCCCTTAGAGAAGATATTTCAGACAACCCCACCTACAACAACAGCTTTTGCTCCTGCCCCATAACCCTACTGTACTTTTTTTTTTTTTTTTTTTTTTTTTTTTTTGCGGCCATGGTGAGTGCTGGGTCCCTGCACCTGCCCACCGGTGACTTGTTTATCTCTCTGGCTGGGAAACAAGCTCCACAGACCGAGATCTGTCCACACTGTTTGCTATGCCTTGAGCAGTCACTGGCACACAGCAGTACCACCACACATCTGGTAAACAATATGTAAGCAAATTTCCCCTCGAAAGCGTCCCATCTGAGATGTTTCTAGAACAGGCCAGACCCCCAGGCTGCCCTGGTGCTTGTGTAAGGGGGTGCCTGACACCTTGCAGCAGGCCCAGGAAGACTCCAGGCTAGAGCCCTGCCAGGCTTATGTGTCATCAAGGTCACAAGTGCTGGCACCAGCACTCAGCAAAAATTAGAAGGCGGCCAGCATGTCACAGGATCATAGGTGCTGGTGTAACACACAGTAAAAAATACTGTGTTGCACCAGACAGGGCTGGCAGACCTCTGAAGTCCCTGTGAGGGTCCCGTGGTGCCCCCAGGCTCTCCCAGCACCCTCTAATCTGGCTTTGGTCTCTACCTATAGTGAAACTGTCTCTAAGTCCAGGCGAGGCGGCTGCCCCACCCCTCACCCTTCAGTGTAAACATTTCCCAGCTTCCCACAGGCACAGACACAAATGCCAGGCTGGCAGCTGCGCCAAGCCCCGCCCTCCACCCTGTTTTCCTCTGAGAACCTTCCTAAGCGCTGCTATTTTGAGCTTTCCTGACAGTGATTGACGACTGGAGGAAACATTTAAAAGCAGCAGTGGGTGTCTGGGTTTGCCAGACAGCTCAGGAGAAGAATCCACGGCACATCGCCCTGATTGTTCGAGAGCTAGAGACGCAGCTGTGACTACCCACCTCTGGGTGCTTCCTTTGGTTTAGACAACCTTTACTCATCAAGACTCCCCGCCACCCTGTCTGCTGACCCACAGGTAAGAGGAGCAACTGTCCTCTGGTTTGACGCTAGTTTGTATCTGAGGGCATTTCTCACCCTGAGCTCTTATAGCCCGGCTACTGGATAGAGACCAGGGTGGTGGGTGCCACTGATGGCTAAGATAATATGGTGTTTGCCCAATGCTTTCGTGCTTACAAAGAACTCAAGATGTCAAAGCTATGATTTCATGCATTCTCCATAATATCCCTGCCAGTGGGCTGTTAATAACCCCGTTTTTCAGATGGGTAAGTAGAGGTGACATTGCCAAAGGTGTCCAGCTCACTAAGTGACTGAGATGGATTTAAAAAACTGGGTGTCCTCAGACCCCAATTAGTACCCTCCGTTCTCTTATTCATTCTTTGTTTTAAATTTTTTAACTAATTTATTTTACTTTATATGTATGAGTGTTTTGCCTACATGAATGTATGCATACTACATACACGCCTGTTGGATCCCCAGGAACTGTATTTATAGATGGTTTGAGCCACCATGTGTGGGCTAAGAATTGAACTCGGGTCCTCTGCAAGAATAAGTACTCTTAATCACAGAGCCATCTCTCCAGCCCCAATTATCTACACTATACTAGCAATGAAGTCTTACCATGTGGGCTTTGATATTATCAGAAAGGAAGAGCTGGGGGATGAGCCCTGGTCTCAGATCCTCAGGTTTCTTATTGCTTTCTGGGTACCCGAGTCCTGTGTAACTTCTACAGTTGCGGGAAGGAAGTAGGAGGGTGTCAGGATGGCATGGCAGGCCACTATTTTCTCTTGGCCAACAGCTTGTTTTTGCTTTGTTTGCAGCAATGAGGTCCCGGCTTCTGCTGCCCGTGCCCCACTTGCCAACGATTCGGGAAACTTCAGAGGAGTTGTCACATGGGGCACCTGGGCAGGAACCCCCAACCTCTCCCAGCCTGGACGACTACGTTAGGTCCATCTGTCAGCTGGCACAGCCGACCTCAGTGATGGACAAGGTCATAGTCCAGAGCCGACCCCACAGACCCTACCGGCCAGCCTGGACTAGAGAGAAGAGACGCCAGGCCGAGTCTCTAGGAGACAGCTCTCCTTGCTTCAGCAGCCTGCAGCCCACACTGCCCTCTCCTGGCACTGACAATCCTCTGGACTGGCTCTTCGGGAAGTCCCAGGAACAACAGACAGATAGAAGAGACCTGCCCAATGGGACCAGCTCTTTTGGTCACGGGGGTGTACACAGGCAGATGGACAAGGACATGGGGAGGCTGTGTGAGGCCAGGGTACCCGAGTACTCCCTGGGAAGAAAATCAGGGCATAGGCAGCAGACCTCCAACCTGAAAAGCTGGACTTCTAGAAAGTCTCACCAGGCCTCGGCCTCCGGCTCCGGCTCTCGCCCCAGCAGCCTCCTCAGTACACTCTACCTGCATCTCCCAGTGATCCATGAACTTTAACCTCTCCCAGCCAAAGTTCATGAAGAATGTTGTGGGTCCCTGTGACCTCCCCAGCTTCCCTCTCCTGTGGACTCCTCCTGGCAGGTCTGCAGGGACTGGGCAATTCCTAGTGAGACCCATCATCTAAAGAGTGCTGACAGTCTGGCTCCCACAATGCAACCTGACTGGTACCATCTGTTTGTGACTGGCTGGCTGGTGACCACGAAGGAGTGACTTGGTGTCTCTATTCCTTGGTTTTATCATGGTTAAAATGACTGTGAGTGGAGTGACCACCTCTCAGATTGTTCTAACGGAGAAATGTGTGCTGTACTCTGGGTGTCCGCCAAAGTCTCATGTGAAACCAAGGGTCAAGGGCCAAGGGAGGGGGCGGTGTCTCAGCTCCCTAAAGCAGTGGTTTCCAACCTTTCTAATGCTGTGACCCTTTAATATGTTGTTCACGTTGTGGTGACCCCAAAACATAAAATTATTTTTGTTGCTACTGTCATTGTGCTACTGTTATGAATCATAATATAAACGTGTTTTCTGATGGTTTTAGGCGACCCCTGTGAAAGGGTTTTCTGACCCTCAAAAGGCTTGCGACCCACTGATTGAGAACCACCATCCAAAAGGCTTCCAATTAAGGGCCTGGTCTCCATCCCCCACCTTGAGGTGCATATTTCCTGAGGCCCAACAAATACATGAGGTCTCAGCAGATTTATCACTGTGTTTCCTATGGACTGTCACCTAGGCACCTGGGGAACCTGCTGTCTTGGCTCCAGTACCCAAATCTCATTGTGGTACCAGAGACATGCTCAGGGCCAAAACAGAATCTGCAGCACACAGTCTGAAGGCTGCCACATGCCTGGATCTGGTGGCCTAGTCTCTACTTGTCCTTTAGTGTACCCAACGTCTTCACCTGAGCCTCTGCCACAGGAAGGGGTTCCCAGGGGGAAGTTGTTCAACCACCTTGTTCTAGCTAAGCCTGGATGTCCAAAGGCTTTGGACATCCAGGCCAGCACTGGGTCCCCACAGCCCAGAGAATGCCAGCTCCTGGGGGCATCTACCAAGCAAAAGGGTGAAGACAGGGAGTCGGTGATGGGAGGATTTCCTTTCTCAGAGAGGCAGCTGTGTTCTCAGAGAGCAGAAAAAAAATCAGGACTCAAGGCCCAGCACTCGTTCCCTTGTATGGGGCTAAAGCCAGCTGACCACGCTCGGGATAGAAGTGTCCAGGGGAGAAGGAGAAGCCGGAGCTGCAGCTGAGCTTGCTTGGTGCACTGCCAATCTCTCTCTCTGTCTCTGTCTCTGTGTGTGTGTGTGTGTGTGTGTGTGTGTGTGTGTGTGTGTGAGAGAGAGAGAGAGAGAGAGAGAGAGAGAGAGAGAGATTTTAACCACTTTGCTGTCTTTTTTTGCATGTATTTTCTCAGAAACAGAATACAAACCACATACCAAAAAAGAAAATGTTTCAGACAAGCAATTTGTTCAATTTTCTTACTCGTAAAATGCAGGACACCAACATCATCCTTCACCCTTAACAGGATTGGGAAGCTGGGTACGTGGACATGAACAGAGAGGCAGTTTGCATCTGTCAGCTTGCTGTCTCCTCAGTAGCCTCAAACTGGCGTCCTATAAGGCAGCCTCTAGGCAAAATGTCCCCATGTGTGATGGGAAGACCGACTTCCTGCTGAGTGGGTACCTGTCTGGAGACTAGGTGGGCAAGGCTTGCTTTAGCCAGCCTCTTTCTGTCCCCTTCTGCCAAGTACTACAAAGACTGGGCAGGAGGGAGATACCTGGCAATTGGCATGGCTCTAGTGGATATCCCATGTGCTCAGAAGTCAGGCTGCTGCACAGTCACGGAACTTGCTCAAATATTCCCTGATGTGAAAGATGCTAATTGTTGACTTGAGACGGTGCTCTTCCCACCCTACTACAACTATCAAGTCCATTAACGATCTGGGGAAGGCAATGCCCCCAAGCTGCAGAGACCAGGGCGGTCTAATAGACACTTTGCAGCTCCCAGGGGACAGATATGCAGAGGGTCAACTACTCACTCCAGGGTTCCAAGAGAGGGGGCAGTCCACGCTTTCTAGGGAAGGATCAGAGTGTACAAGGGGGAGGAACATTGAGTGTTTCACACCCTGTAGATCTAGCATACAGCAGAACTGGATGCAGTGTGGCACACAGCCACCAGGGGGAGACCGTGAACCACTAAAGGTTTAGTTTCAAGGCTGGTTGGGAAAACCTGATCAGACACCCTGGGTGGGGTTAGTTTATCTGCTCACACTGACAGGTTTATACATCAGCATTTCCAGAAAACCACCAACTTCAAAAGGTACTGATTGTTCTTAGAAGTTACGCTTTTCATTGTGGCAGAAGCAAAACTACCCCAAAGGCAGTTTTACAGTCAACTGGCTGACCATCTTCTAGAGAGCTGAATTGCTTCCTCTGGTTCTTAGTAATTGGGAGAAAGGTCATTGGGAAACAGGGTGTCCCCCACCCACAGATGTACCTCATCTCTCTACAGGCTTTCTACTTGCAGTGAGGGAGTTTGTTCCCAAACTGTACACCTAGGCTGTAGTTGATATCAGCAAGGCTTAAGACAACTGGGAGAGTCTCTTCCAGGGCACACCCAAGTGGTGAGTGCTTCAGGAACTTAAAAGTACCTTATAGCCTGGGGCTCAAGAGTCACTAACTGCCCGGTGTCAGAGACCTGTTCAGTGAGCCCCCATTCAGGACTCCAGTGAATTCTAAACTTTAATGCCAGAAATGGTATTGCTGTCCTTACCAGTGGCACTCAGGCTCTGGAGCTGTGCCAGCCTGCCTCGTTTACTCCAAAGTCCTGTGAAGTGAACTATCCCCTTCAGGAAGGAGAAGGGGAGGCTCAAGAGACTCCGGAAGTAAACAAACTGTGCATGGCTGGGAAAGCTGAACCTCAGGATTCTCAAAGACCCTTCCCAGGGCTATAGATGCGATAAACAGCTGCTGGGGAGGAGGCTCAGCAGCCAGCTGTGGAGGGGAGAGTCTTCCCTACCTGGAACCCGTGCAGAGCTTCTGAGGGTACAGCTTCATGAATCGTCACCCATGCTGGGGTGCGCTTTCACTGCTCCTGTAAGTCACCCTTCACCCACACTCCTGTTAGGATATCCCAAGTTCACCAAACTGGTCTTGGGTACAATTGTTATTTTGGTCTGTAGTGGATTCCTTTTCTGGGGTGAGTAGGCATATGTATGTGCTGTATCTCCCCAGGAAAAGTTGCTAAGACAACACAACTAGGGACTTAACTTGTGAGAACCTCAGGGTTTTTTTTTGTTGTTGTTGTTGTTGTTTTTTAAAGGAAAAGGTCCATGGTGATAACTAGAAGAGAGGCAAAGTGTACCAGATTCCCCATTGTAACTTCCTCCAGCTGCCTGTCCTTGTGATGCCCAAGGACAGGTCATTCTGGGATTGTCCAACAGTGAGTATTTCGGACATGAGATCCTGGATGGCCAGCTGCAGGTCTGAGACCCTTGTACTGGGTGGTAGGTGAATCTGTGAGGGTCTCTGTGAGATGTCAGTGGCCATGACACCCCAGGAGCCAATCATGACTGTCTTCCAGAAATCTGAGATTCTGGACCTGCAGACTTGCTTCTATGGTGGCTGGTACCTTGAAAAAGCACATATTTCCTCAGACTGCCTGCTCCCTGAGTCCGTTAATGCTGCAGAAGGCTCCTGAAAGGTATTTCCCGGTTCCGCGGGGGTCAGATCAGTTTGTCCCATGGGTTTAGTAGGCAAAGCCCCTACTGTGGTTAGCTCCCTGCCAGGAGAGGCGGTCAGGGTTGAGTTTTGCCAGCTGCAAAGTTCACTGATTTTCAATGTGGACCGTCCCTCATAAAAACCCACGGCACACTCAGGGCTGTCTAGCCTCGTCCCCTACAGCTACTCCCACAGAAAGGATTGCCTCGAGGAATCCCAAGTGATAAGATCAGGGTCTTGTCATGTGGCTCAGGCTGACTTGGAACTTACTAGGTGACACAGGCTGGCTATGAACTCATGACAATCCTCCTGCATCAGCTTCTGAGTGCCAGGATTAGAGGAGTGTGTTAATTATTCTCAAACTTAACCTTCTATCAGAATGCCCTGAAAAATTTGCTAAAACACTAATGAGAGAAAGGAAAGGTTTTTGTTTGTTTTTGTTGTTGTTGTTGTTTTGTGTGTGGTGTGTGTGTGTGTGTGTGTGTGTGTGTGTGAATGGGCATGCACACATGTACGATTTCTGTTTCCAGTCAGTTCCCTAGTGCTATTGAGGATGTTGACACAAGGGCCACAGCAGAGAACCACCCTAACCTTAGTAACATCAGTCCCAGAAACATCCAAAGCCAAGGAAAGGAAACCCAGCCAAGACCCACCCACCACACTCTGTGCCCATGCCAGGGATCTGAGGTAGGCACAACTCCCTCACTTAGTGGCACAGGTCAAAACCCAGAACCTCTCTAACCCCATTTGTCTGCCTCCCTCCCTGGTTGCCCATCGCACTGGAGCTTGAGACTTGGGGTTCTTTTCTCCTGAATGGCCCGGGTCTACACTTGTGGGCCGTGTACCAAGCCTGACCTGACACATGCAGAACCAGGGGGGCGGGGCCCTGTCCTAGCTCCCAGAAGTTCATCACTCAGGTGAGAAAAGAGCCAGTGGAACCTGAGATGGCAGAACTCTAGGATCGGAGCCAGGTCAGAGCGGTAAGAGGCTAGGCGGATCTGGGGGCCTGGGAGTGGGCAGGATGGGACAGCACTGGAGACGGCTGCTCCAAGGGAAGAGGATGAGAGAGAACCACAAGGTACCGGAAGCAGGACATGGAGAGGGGAATGAGGGATCGGCGCTGGTGCTAAAGCCCAAGCTGAGGAGACAGGAGGGCACAAGAAGAAAGGCAGAACGCGGGGTTTTGTTGATGGCACAGATGGCCCTGGCCTTGCCTGGACTAGGAACCTACCGCCTCTCCCACTGCACATGAGTGGAGGTACCAAACACCGCTGTCCTGGCCCGCGGCCTGCCACGCTGCCTGCTTGACATTGGCCAGCTCTAGTCTAATACCACAGAAGGCTGTGGGCTGATGAATAAGCAAGATGAGGGTGGTTCAAGGACCCAGCAGCTACCTCCCAGCAGAGGCCCCTGGGAGTTTCTGCTGGCCCTTTTCAGACACTGCGATGAGCACACCCAGCAGCCAGGTCTCATCCATGGAAATCCCCCAAATAAAACCTTCCACCATGAGCCTTCTCAACAGACTGTCAAACGTACAGGACTAGACAGAACTAGGGGCACAAAGCCACAACTGAGGTGCCCTTGTGAGGTCATGGATGGTGGAAGTCTGGGCATGGCTTGATTTCCCTTAAGTAGATCCCAGCCTGGACCCTGCTAGACACTCCTCAGGGTGTTGCAAGGTTTAATAAATCCCTTGTGAAATTCCAGGTATCTAGTCTCTTTAGAAAAACATCAGTCCCCACCAGGGCCACATTTACACGTTGTAGGCATGGGTTC